ATGAATTTATTACTTTTTTCATTTCCTTGTAGAACATTTTTTCTGTTTTTGTGTGTGTGTGTGTGTGTCTTTTGTGTGGTTTTTTGTTTGTTTTGTTTTTCGTTTTTGTTTCTGTTTTGTTTTTGTTTTTTTTGTTTTTGTTCGACAGAGATGGAGAAGATACCATGAATTTATTACTTTTTTCATTTCCTTGTAGAACATTTTTTCTGTTTTTTTGTGTGTGTGTGTGTGTCTTTTGTGTGGTTTTTTGTTTGTTTTGTTTTGTTGGTGGTGTTTTTTTGTTTTTGTTTTTTTGTTTCTTTGCTTGTTTTTTGGTGTTTTTTCTTTTTGTTTTTTGTTTTTTGTTTGTCTGTTGTTTTTTTGTCCTTCCCTTTCATTTCTTTGCTATCCCTTTCCTTCAAATTTCCTCTAATTTTCTCTCCTCTTCTCTCCTAGCCTTGCATTTTCTCTCAATAACTTCCTTAATTAATTCCTCTCCTCTTGGATTTTATCTTTCTTTCTTTATTCTTTCTTTCTTTTTCTTCTTTCCTTCAGTATATTTCCTATTCTTCGTAATTATTTCTCAAGATACTTAAAACCTATTGAAACCTTCTTTAAAATCTCACGGATATGGTTTCATATTTTCACAATATTATTGAGTATATCAAGAACCACTTGTTTGGTAAGACAATATCCATCTTATCAAATCAAACCGCACACTTCTTTAATAACAATGTTTTTGCCGTTAAATTTTCCTTTCAGATATATGTTGAATATTGAATTCGAATTGTCAAAGTGAAACAAAATAGCCGGAGAAAATGCTGTTTTGTAAACTGTAGCAAGGGTTTATATATTCTATGTATAGAACATCATGTCATGATTTGTATAAAATAAACAAAAGCTTTTCAACAACAGTATTTACATTTTTTACGGGATTTCAATTTAATCTTGCCTAATTATATTTCTTTCGCGAGAAAGGGTCTACCGTCTAACCTACAAAAAGCGAAATGCTTTTAATAATCTATAATGAAAAGCATTATTTTTTAAAGTTTCAAAGTTTCAAAATCTCTAATACGAATGAAAAAAGTAATTGTCAAAAGTATTTAATCACGGGAAATCTCACGATTGAAATAACTCACGGTTTGTATTCGCTTTTAATGCGCAAAAGTATGGTTTGTGGATATAGATTTTTTTTAAATTAAAAAAGGAGAACAGAGGCGAATAAAGTCAAACAGAGGCCGAGTTGAGAAAGAAAACAACCCGCACAAGGAAATAAAAAAATCAAAAAGGTCTCCAAATAATATATGTTGAAAGAGTAGCAATTGTAATGTTTGCATATCAGCCATGGATTTACAGCTAAGATATTAATGGATTTTGCTGACAAAATAACCCTTGTTTCATAAATTTTGCTTTAAGGAACTTGCTTTGCATATCAGCCATGGATTTACAGCTAAGATATTAATGGGTTTTGCTGACAAAATAACCCTTGTTTCATAAATTTTGCTTTAAGGAACTTGCTTTGCATATTAGCCATGGATTTACAGCTAAGATATTAATGGATTTGCTGACAAAATAACCCTTGTTTCATTAATTTTGCTTTAAGGAACTTGCTTTCTCAAGCATGTATGCTTCATCAATACTTCTAAATTGCACCATTATATATTGGTTCTGATAATTTCTGCAGAACTTTTAAACATCATTCATGACATCTTGTGCAAATGTACCTATTTTTAGCAGCTTTTTGATTTCAAATTGGTAACAATGTTGCAAACGTGTTCATTAAGTGTTTTGCTTTCATTTCCTACTTCAAGTGACAAATGTGTTTTGATTTTTTTTCTATTTTTCAGATCTCACTGCAATAGGACCACAGACGACAAGGAAATTAAAGGAATCTCTGTAAACCGTCAAACCTATTCATTACGTCAATTTTAAGGCAATATAATCTGCCAAAACGGCGAGAAATACAAGAATGTAACAGGAAAAAAGACATTTTAGATCGAAAAATTCATTCAATACTTCATCGCTAATCAATCGAGGGAAATTGATAAGAACAAAGACACGAAATCGTGATTACTTTAATATCAGAATACAGCAATCTCACCAGCATTAGCAGGATCCTTGATCATTACGGTCATTACCCCTTAATGATCCGGCTCAATTAACATCAAAAGTTCAAGACAGAATACGTCATAAGAGAATAAGTAACAGCGTCGCCACAGGACAAAAAGGAAAGAAACTGACGTAATCGATGAATATATCTAAGGATGTCAAAAATCACATCAAAATAGTTCCTGATTTCAAAAGCAGTATAAATACGAGGTTGTGAAGAAGTTGAAAACAGTGCATTACTGTTGATATCATGGCGAACAACAGCACCAACTCCCAGGTTTCCAGTCTTCAAACGAACGATTCCATCCATTATGCGTATTTTAGCGCCGAATCAGATATTTTCCCTTTATTAGTTGCGTTTCTAATCGTCATTATAAACGCGTGGGTCATCATTCTCATATTGAAGAATAAGCTTCTAAGAACCGTTACAAACTTCATTCTGTCGAGTCTTGCCTTTTCTGATCTATTGACAGGCCTGCTGAGTATTCCAATGTTCGTCGCGTGCAACGTAGTGCGAACCTTGCCACTTTGCATCACATCTGACGTTTTCCTGAGATTCACTTCGATTTCTACAGTCGCTCATCTTCTGGCCGTTACCTTTGATCGTTACCTTGCTATAATGCACTCTCTTAGGTACGCTACACTCATGACCAAAAGTCGTGCACTTTTTGGCCTTATCTTCATCTGGGTCACCTCCGTTGCAATGTCCCTGATACACTTCAGTTGGTCCACTCTAATAACTGACGAGGATGTGAACGGGAAAATGCCCCAGTCCGAGAAAGAAAACGAGATTCGTTATGATATTTTTTGCCTTATCACCTACTTCTTTCTTCCCCTGATATTCATGATGTACGCTTATGGACGGATCTTTTATCAAGTTGTGCGTCAGAGACGCATCATGACACGCAACAACCTACCCGGCTTCCAACCTCACAATCGCCTCTCGATCGAAAGCCACAAATGGAAGGCAGCAATCATTTTTTTGGTTATGCTTCTGGTTTACACAATATGCTGGCTGCCTTATTTCGCTTACAGATTGCAATACAACTTTGAAGATGGCGAGAAAAACATCCTTCCTATAGCAATGCAGTATCTTATAATCTATCAAAGATTCTGCACCTCTTTATTCAATCCTTTGTTGTACATACTAGGAAAGCAAGACTTTAGAAAGACAATACTAACGAGGTTTGAGAGAAGGCCCACTCGCTCATATACAGGATCGACTAGTTTGTTACGGTCAACTTACGTATAAGAAATCTGCTCAAAGTGTTAGAGATGAAGGCAGGAAAATTTGTAACAATGTATCAACAAGACTTTAATTTTCAATGCAACATGATATTTCGGGCAAGAAATTATTTCCATAACGTGAACACTCGCTAAGCAAAACCTTGGGGAAAAAACCCCTGACATTTGCCCTTTGAATGACCGTGTAACAATCTGCAACAGACTAGCTTCTGTTATAATATGGCGGGAAACATCATCACGTGACACTGGTTAAAAACAGCCGTCTACGAGGATGAATGGTGCACTTTGACATTCTACATGCGAAGGGAAGCCTACCAAATATTTGGAGAGATTGCACAACAGCAAATTGAAGCACGCTTGGCTTGGTTAATGGCAGTAGAAGTTCTCGTGTGCACTAGGGAAGACGGCGCTTCAAGGTCCAGATAAAAAACGGGTGTTCGATTAACATTGTCGTTACTTGCAGTCTGTCATATTTATGACTTCAAATGACATCTATGATCTATGTTAGGTTGATCTTGCTTCCAGTATTTACAAAGTCACGTGATACATGTAACTAACCAATCAGAGTTCACAAAAGGTCGACGCGGTTTGACGTATACTAATATCAGCTGTTGGGTTGAAAAAGGCGGAATTAATGGCAACACAGAAACACAAAGATAACAAGACAGACAAAACATGGATTCAAAGTTATAATTGTGTTGCTTTGTCCTGAGGTGCTTTTTGTCTTCCGACCGGCGATGTAAACAAGATGGTGTTGATATTACTGACCTGATTCATTGACAAATAGATATTTTGATAAGATTTTTGGAGCTGATCATCTAGAGATTCCAAAGCATGATGGAGTAAACTCGCGACAATCGACCGACTCATCTAATGTAAGATATAAAGTTTAATTTACTTTGCAAATCTTTTATGTCGCTTTGATTTCACGGCAGTCATGATGGTTGAGGAATAAGTTTTTGCCTCATAGCCTCGCCTCGATGCGTTTCAGAACGAGGTTTACCGAGGGTATAAACAAGGTTTGTATTCTCAACCACATTGTTGCTGTGTGATAAAGGACCGTGGAAGGTTCTCATAAGATATGAAAAGAACTGTTTTATAACGACAGTGATAACGATAGCCTGAAGGACTGTTTTCTCATCCTGTGACGGCAGCCGGGATGTCGAAATAAATAACGATTTTAAATATAAAAACTCGAAAACTGACTGACATTTTAAGAGTTTAAGGGGGTCAAGACCCCCTGGTTCCTTCAAATAACGTATTGAACAGAGAGTCTAACAATCTTGACTGACCTAATGCCGCCATGCTTCAAATATAGCTCGTTAGAGTACTTTTAAGGGAAACGGTAAGGTCACGGCACGGGATTGGCAACATCATTTGAACCAATCACAGCATGCAAAATTACCTCACATCCAATCAGAACACAGCAAATTACCTCACATCCAAGGCACTGCACGCACTTTTTACCGAGAGGCTTTCGCCGTGGTACAAAATGTTCTTATACTCCTCCACTCCTTGATCGTGACTAAAATGTGCGTTGAGACAAGATAGATCCTAAACACATCAGATATCGATATTCTCTTGGATGGTTAACCAGAGTCAATACAAACTAAATAATATTGCTGTCGTTATAAAATATAGTTCTATATTTCTGAATAACCAAACAATTATATTTAAGCATGTATATAAAAGCTATCAAACTTGTACATCTAGTGTTTCAACCATGCTGTTGATTGAAATAGCAATGCCTTATCCCGATAAAATGATGCATTTTGGGATATCTAGGGTATAAACTATACCATATAAGGCATATTGAACAAAAGTGGAAATTTTATACCCAAGCTAGACCAGAATGCACCATGTTCGCTATCTAACAAAGGTCTATGTATTTTATAAGGTTACATGTGCCTGACCGGGTTACTTGACTGTAAAATCATTGAAAGAACCCATCGACAACACTGTCATGCGAGCGAATTTATTATTGGAATAAGAATACTGACAAGTGGATACTTTTTATTTTACCTCCCTTTGTTTTTCTAGTTTATCTTTTACCCTAGGCGCTTGTTCCCCCGCTTGTATTAACAATACGATACAATACAATATAATAAACTTCATTTAAGGAGAGTGACACAACCCAGAGAGTTATCTAACACGTGGCCCCCAAAATAGAATGCCATATTAGAAAGCTTTCTGTTAAATACCACCAACATGGTAATGCTCTAACAACGTGCGAGAGAAGAACCAGCCATTCATCCAGTTTGAATCCGATCAAAGAAATCACAAAATTAAGTTTGTTTTCGAATGGCATTTGGTCCACAAAAAGAACAACGACGGCTGGAACCGTTCGCCACTTGCCTCGAATACTTGGTTAATACTGAGTAATGATTTAATACTTATATGGCGCAAATTCGCATGTGAATACAATCAAATGCGCCTAAACTTGGTTAAAGATTATTTCCAAGAGAAAATGAACTAAGAAAAGGAATCCCCGTGCCCCATTATGTGCACACTTTGATGCTATTTTTAGAATCATTGATGCTATTTTTAACTCGTTACCATGCCCGCGCGATAATCATGCTTCCCTTTAATGCCTCGTTTTAGGACACGAAAAGCGCCATATTTCGCTACGTCCACGACAAAAACACAGGCTTTGTTTACTGCAACACTGGAAGCCGCCTATCCTCAAGAAATCAACCAATTAGGTTCATCGCGCAAAATAAGCTAAGAATAGCATATAGGTAGGATTCCTTCTCTTAGCTCATATTCTCTTGTTATTTCCCTTGGGCGATTTCCAATTAAGTCGAACCAATCGGTCTGAGCGGTAAGTCGTCAAACCAGTGTTTCGAGTCAGTTCTTAGAACTTATACCTGAAGAACTGTCACGCGTTCCTTGCGAGAACTGGCCGTTGGACTTAATGGAAAGCACCCTTAGTATCATTAACGAACAACCTTTAATTTATCTAACGTTATAGAAAATATTAGAAACTTAATCAGATCAGTTAGTAATGATCTGAATCAGGGGGGTGATACACCTCCCTACATATAAACTAAGAAGAGATAACTAGCTAAAAACTAGTGTTTAGTGTCTACAATAATTAGAATAGCTGTTCGTAGTTTAATATAAAATCTAAGACATGGAAGAAATGAATGAGTCATTTCTCTCCCTACTTAACTTGGAAACCTATTAAAAATAGCAGATCATTGAGGTCTTCTGCGTTCCATAAACAAGATGCATTGTGGTCTAGCTTGGGTACAATCAACGCCATATAAGGCATGATGAATAACAGATGTTTGTACCCAAGATGAACCACAATGCACCATGTTTATCGAACCCAGAAAAGGTCTAGCAAGGTGGTTTCATTGTTATACTTGGTTAACTACTGAGTGGATTCTGTCCTTGTGAACCATTTTGATTGGATATCTCACATTTACTCCGACGAAGGACTAACGTCCGAAACGTCAGTTTCTAAACATCACAAACCATACGGTGTATTAAGTTAAATCAATTCTCCTACTGATTGGATATCTAACGAGTAATTTCACTTTGTTTCTTGAAGAGAAAAAGGAAAGCCTAAAGGCCTATTTACACGGCACGATTTCCCGCACGAGACTAGACGGCTCAAAATCGGATCGTGTAAGTGGTCCTACGACAGAAGTACGCGGCCTCAAGACTTATCGTAGCATTTTAAACTTTGGCTTGACATGCCGTAGGAAAATGACGTAAATATGACGATTTTGACCGAGATTGGGACTGGAACTAGTTGATTCCAAAACAAAATGGCGGATTTCCATGAAAACGTCTTTACCGGTAATTAAACACGAAGTGCAAACATTCTGAATGATCTCATCAAATAACAAGGTAGACATGATTATTTACTGCACTTCTCAACTGTGTATGGTGGCATTTTACAAGAAACATTTGCTGTAATGACGAGTAAATTGCTCGCGTTTTTTTCGTGCCGCGTGCGACAAGTTGTGCTCGTGTAAATGGTACCAAAATTTGCMGTATACGTCAAGTCGCGCGCGGCAAATCGTGCCGTGTAAATAGGCCTTAACAGAATCCGATCGTGGTAACGGACGTTTACCACTCCTATGAAACCTACCTTTTGAGCAAGAAATATTTTCGCATGCATGCGTAGTTGAATGAAATATTGTTGCTCCATAGCTGTGGAAAACTAGTGAATTTGTGTTTTGATAAAATGGTTTTCAAGGCTAGCTAGATTACAATGATAAAAACCGATGAAAGTCGAAATACAAATATGTTCTCTGATCTACTTATTTCCATTGGCAGACCACCAATGCTATATCCTCTAGCTCTTGTAGTCGCTTTGTAAAGGGACTATTGCATACTGCGTATCAATGTTAATATTGAGCAGGAGACAGCTTACATTGAAAGTCTTTGCTTCTTTATTGTTAGAACAAAGACATTGTATATATATTGTAACATGAAGAAAATGACGTATTACCGGGTTATAATGGTTCAATAAAGAAAAGTAATAATAGAAGAAATGTCACGTGAAAAATGCCTGAGTGCGAGCTGACAGACAACAAATCATATGTTCATTTTTTATATTTACAACAAAACCCTCAAAGTCATTTTACTAGTACTATGTTAACTTTTGTTCTTTTTATTTCATAATTAGGTGCCACGTGATACTGCCACGCCCTATTACTAACCCCTTGATAAAACTACTTAGTACTGAAGGAAATGACACAATAGAGCTCTTTACATTGGGCGAAAGTTTCCCCATTTCAGGCCATGTGTCATTCTCTTGAGAATAAGATTATTCGTTCATGTGGTATCCAAGTTCTTATGTATTCTCGTGGGCAACCGTTTAACAAAGAAATGATGGATACTAAATTGCTAAAGCATTGCACCTAACGTAAAGAGGTCTATTCTCAGTCCGGCCTATCACCGCGTGTTGTTGCGTGGCAACTTTACCTTACTAATTAAGTTCCCGCGAATCGTTTTACTACAGTTTTAAAGAATATTTTCTTTCACAGTTTCTTGCGCCATCTTTAAAGGTAGCCGTGCCCATGCATTGAAGTGAAACGAACGGTGAGCTTGCAATGATAGATACATAAGTGAATAATTGTTCAAGGTGTTAAAAAAGGTCTCTATCATTGCAAGCTCACCGTTGGCTTAATCTGCAAGGCTTAATCATCAATTGTAGCTGCATTTCGATTGTTTTGTTAGCGAATAAACACATTACCGTGTGGTTTTGCCACACCCTTCAACTGGGTCTGTTTACAGTTCCCACAGGAATCATGAACCGGCCATCCTTGTGTATCTCCATTGAAATCAATGTAAGCTTTATGGCATCCGTGGAATGGAGGTCGTCCGGCTTGACGAGCACCAACAAGTTTAGGACCACATGCAGGTCGTCTGTTCACGAGCATGATCGGAACTATATCGCCACACTTTCCAATCACGTTTCGAACTACTCGACACTTAATCGGTCCGTGCTTGTATTTAACAAGGCTTCCCCAGGCAGGCTTACAGGATATCCAGTTCATGATATTTGATTTGATCAAGAACTCTTCTCCAATATTCGACCACAGAGAAAACAACATGGCGCCTGTTTGTTCTTCGTTCAGTGGGGTTGTTTCTGATCCCGGTTGGCAGACCCTGCCAGGTGGGTGGAATTTCCGGTTCCATTTAGGCAACGGCGTGATAGCGTTACTAACACTATCAAAATTATTATAATCAGTGAAGGTGTATGTCCAAACTAGTGTCCAGCCCCCTCCCGACGTTTCTTGGTCGCAGTAGGTCTGGAATGGTTGGTTTATCTTTGAACTGACTGGTTTGATCCAGTAGACACCAGAACGAGCGTTAGGGTGAAGGGACTTCAGTTCTTTGCAGTTCTTAAATATCTTGTCTTTATAGGGCACTAAAAAGAAATGACTTTTTTTTTTCAATGTATTGTAAAAATATAGATCATTAAGGTCACTGGTAATGGGGAATAGAATGTCCAGCATAGGATTTCCCCAAGGTTCATCACTAGGACCACAGGGTTTATCAGTTAACTGGGAATAGGAACTTAGTTGATGAACAGGGAAAGTTTATTGCTAAAATGATATTGTTCCTGCCATCCAAGATGGTTGTTGTCAATCTATAGAGCGTTTTCACTCACCTGACAAGGCAGCCATATTGGTGTTCCAAACAATGGAAACGTTCTGCACAGTTTTTGCATAAATATAGAGTTCAATTCCCCTAGGATAGAAAATGTATTGTTTTGATACACCAACATGGCCGCTTTGAAAACGATCTATAGTATATTCCACGTACCATATTCCTTTCCTACTTCCGGTCCGAGCTGCAAAAGTAACATACGGAATGACATGATTGTGTGAAAAATAATGAATTACCAAACTGTTACTAAATAAATTTTTGAACCATATGGAGGTTTTGCACCATTACGTGCCCATCCCATTTGGGCAGCCTGTGGTTAGATGGCAGAACAATAAAATCCCTTTGCTCTTTATTGGGAATTGAGTTCTTTCTCGTGTAAGACGATTGTCGTGTTCCTGCCATCTAACATGGCTGCCGTCACGTGGTGGTGCAAGACCTCTATTTGATATTGGGGCAATGAGGCTACAAAAGTGTGGGTTCTATGTAGAGCAGTGTAGGTCCCAGTTGATATGACATTACAATGACCAACCCTGGTGCTAAGTGTTTTCCCAGGGAATCCCAAAAAGGGTTAGCTCTAGCAGTAGGTTAACCCTTCCTTCGCCCAACGTTAGGATAATTCACTGAACTACTTTATCTTTTTGCTCCCATCCCAGGTTTAGTGATTTTATTTGGCCCGTGAAATAATGTTTAATACATATAAGTTTAATATTGACTAACAGTGAAAGTAAAACAAAAGAAAGCAATGGAATTAGTATCTTCTTCTATGTATTATGCCTACTATTTCATCACTGAACAAGTAAAATCACTCGAGCCAAAATGTGTAGCTGTCCTAGTTGTGGAAATGTTTTAAAATATGCATAGTCTCGTTGGCTTCTGAATGTTATATCTTTCTACCACATTTTAGCACCAAAAAACAAGGGGGAAATCCAACATCATATATACATAAAAAATATCATAACCAAAATAGCTCACCATTTGTATGTGAAAAAATCTGCCATTAGTTTGAGAAAAGAACGAAGCACTTTTCTCGATTTCTTCGTTTTCAATTTTGTTCATTTCACTCAAAAAGCAGACGTTTTTTTCCTCGTCAATGATTGCAGTCGTGCAAAATGACTTCCGAAGACACTTCAAAGCACAGCTCATCTTACTTTGAGGAGCTCTTAAAGTCTCCAGTACTTTACCATGTTTGACATCTGATTTGAAGCTATCAGTGTATGATGTAATAGCTTCTTTATTCTTCTGTGACCAACAAGTACCGTGACTCAAAATAACGAGCAAAGTTATCCAGAAAAAAATCATTCTTCAAGCTAAAAAATATAATGTTCCCAAAATCTTCAGAAGGTTTAAACAGTGCCATTATTTACAAAGATAGTACAGCTATTTACACAGATTTTCTTTCAAGTTTACATTTGTCTTATTCATTTTCCTGTGAGTTCATTTGCAACTAGTATTGTGTTTGATCTGGACTTTATTTCCATATCAATAAACAGTTGAAACTGTAATTGAAAAATGCTAAAGTTTTTTCTAACTTTACTTTGATGATTATTTGACGTGCAAGAACAATGCAATGTTCTTTTGTTGTACAGTTTTCAGAATAAAATAAGGGTTGAGAAAATAACACAAACTAGAGAAATTTAATAACTTATGTACATAAAAGGATGTATAACAAAGTTTATTCCTTGACGTTTGAAATCACTTTTGTTTACCTCTTTTCTTTTAGTTCCTTTTCCTTTCTTTTCTTTTCTTTT